GAAGGCTGAGGCGGAAGGATCACCAGAGCCCAGCAGGTCGAGGTTGCAGTGGCTGGGAGCAGCCACCACACTCAGTCTGGGCAACAGTGAGACTCCAACTCAAAAAAAAAAATTATATTAAAAAAAAAAAGATATAAAGATAACCATCAGCTATCAAATGAAAACTCCTCTGTTTTGAGTTGTAGGGGACGTTTTGTTTTTTGGGGTTTTTTTTAGATGGAATCTCATTCTGTCACCCAGGCTGGAGTGCAGTGGCACGCTCACTTCTATCACAGCCTCAACCTTCTAGGCTCAGGTGATCCTTCCGCCTCAGCCTTCCAAGTAGCTGGAACTATAGCCATACACTACCACACCCGGCTAATTTTTTGATTTATTGTAGAGACGAGGTCTCTCCATGTTGCTCAGTCTGGTCTTGAACCCCTGAGCTGAGACAGTCCTCTTGCCTCTGCCTCCCAAAGTGCTGGGTTACAGGAATGAGTCACTGTGCCAGGCCAAAGTGGTCATTTTGAACCAAGCAAAGGTGTAAGGTGCTTTGCAATTGGAACACACTAAGGACAGGACTTCTGGAGCCTCTTGGGTGTGGACCTTGGCTCTGCCACTTGTCTGTGTGTCTCCAGGCAAATGCCTTAATGTCTCTGTGCCATAGCTTCCTATCTGTAAAACGGACAGGATAACAGGTCCTCCTCCGGTGGTGAGCATTTGCAGAATGTGCGAGTGTGTACTTCTCTCCCCTACCAGGCCAAGGGGCAGTTTAAGAAGCAGTCGGTGGCCAACAGTGTGGAGATCTCTGTGCCCGTTCCCAGCGATGCCGACTCCCCACGCTTCAAGACCAGTGTGGGCAGCGCCAAGTACGTGCCGGAGAAGAATGTCGTTATTTGGAGCATTAAGTCCTTCCCGGTGAGCACAGGGGAAAGGCAGGGGACCCATGGGTGGCTGGGATGGCGTGGGGGCTGCACAAAGTCATGGCGGAGAGTAGATCAGTAACCACATATTAAGCAGGGGGTGATCGAGATGGGAGCTAGGCCAGTCTAGTTCACAGATGGGTGAACTGAGGTCCATGATGGGAAGTGGGTTTAAATGCCACACGCTCCCATCCCAAGGTCTTGAGGTCACCAACTCTGGGTTCAAATTCCTCATCCTTGCCTTTCTGAGCTGGGTGGGTTTGGGAAACCCATCTCCCTTCAGGGAGACTCAGTTTGCCCATCTGTGAAATAGGCAAGATCATGTTACCCACAGCCCTGGGTGGCTAGAGGATCTGGTCTGTCCCTGTCATTTGGGGGGTGGTTATTACAGCCTAAGAAAAAGGAGATGATAGTTAGAAGTCCTCTTAACTAGGTTTTACAGTCAGAAGGTTCCCCTGTGGTCTCAGCCAGGAGCCTTTTTGTTTGTTTTAGAGATAGAGTCTTGCTCTGTTGGCCAGGCTGGAATGCAGTGGTGCCATCATAGCTGACTGCAGCCTTGACCTCCTGCACTTAAGCTAATCCTTCTACCTTAGCCTCTGAGTAGCTGGGACTATAGATGCATGCTACCATGCTTGGATAATTTTTACAAATTTTTTGTAGAGATGGGGTCTCACTAGTTGCCAGGCTGAGGAGCCTTTACTTTCCTATGTATGAAATAGGCTAGCCAGGCTCGGTGGCTCAACCTGTAATCCCGCGCCTTTGGGAGGCTGAGGTGCGTGGATTGCCTGAGCCCGCGGGTTCAAGACCCGCCTGGGCAGGCGAGACCTCATCTCTAC